GGGACGATAGCCAAGAGAGGGGGGGGGGGGGGAGAATGAAACGGAGACCAAGAGTTGTTCATGAGACAAACTAAAGGTCTGGAGTCTTTCTAGAACTGAGGGGTGTGATCAGACAATGAGGAAGGATCACGTTTGATGGAAAGAGTGGCTTTGCTGGCAGTGAGCTCCCTTACCGTGATCCTTCTGTCCATACAGGAATCAGTCCAGCCTGGCTGCAGAAAAGGGTAGCTGTACCTACCACTGGACCGAAAAGATCCAGCCTGGGCATGCAGCGAGGTTGGGCTAGTTCACAATCACCTGCAGTGGCCAGGACCATAATACAAGTGGTCCATACCGCAAGCTATTTCTCCATCTGATCACACCCTGTGCCCCTTTAAGTCGCTTGCATGAGTATGTATGTGATTGTTCCTTCAAGTCACTTCTGACCATCCTATAAGTGAGCAATCTCCAACATGCCCTGTTCTCAACGGCCCGGCTCAGCTGTTGCAAACTCAAGCCTGAAAGGCAGCAGGAAACGGAGAAGACCAAATACGAGCTGAGTTGACTTCCTTGAGGGAGTCAATCCATCTCATACTTTGCTCTTCCCCGTTTCCTCCTGCCTTCCAGCATGATTGTCTTTTCCAGAGCATCCTGTCTTCTCATCATGTGGCCAAAGTAGGCCAGCCTCAGTTTCATCATTTTTTGCCTCCAGAGATAGGTCGGACTTGGTTTGATCTAGGACCCACTTGTCTTTCTGGCAGTCCAGAATATCTGCAAAGCTCTCTTCCACATTTCAAACAAATCCACTTCTTCTCCCGTCTGCTTTCCTCACTGTCCAGCTTTCACACCCATACGTGGTGATCAGAAAGACAAGAGTGTGGATGATCTTGGTCTCCAGGGACATATCCTTACCCTTGAGGATCTTTGCCAATTTCTTCATTGCTGCCCTTCCATGTCTTGGTCTTCTTCCCATTTCTTGGCTGCAGTCTCCATGAAATCAGAAGAAGACTGGGACGATCAATACATGAGTATGCAGAAATATGGCCAAAAAATGTCTCTAACAACTATTTGCAATTAATACTAATTTGCAAGCCACCTTTCTGGTAACTTCCAGCTTTCTCTTTCAGTCTGTGATGCTCCTTCTGCACAGCCAACGCCGTTACATCTTCGAGTACGACCAGTCTGACTACCTCCTTTCCATCACCATGCCAAGCATGGTGCGCCATAGCTTTCAGACCATGCTCTCCGTTGGCTACTATCGTAATCTCTATTCCCCACCGGACAGCAGCGCCTCTTTCATCCAGGATTTCACAAGAGACCAACGGCTTCTGCAGACTCTCTACCCGGGAACAGGACGCAGGGTGCTTTACAAATATACCAAGCAGTCCAGGCTGTCGGAGATTCTGTACGATACCACCCAAGTCTCCTTTACTTACGAAGAGTCGTCTGGTGTTATTAAAACAATACATTTGATGCACGATGGGTTTATTTGCACCATCAGATACAGGCAAACAGGTAGGTTAAGAATATGCTTAGTGCTTATGCTCCTGTCCATATGGAAAATCACTGTCTTAAGTCCCATTTTTGGAAGGACAAGTAACTTACACATTCATTCCTTGGTGCTTTTTGGTAAATGTTAGGTTAGAATCCTCTCCGAAGCCCTGGAAAATTTAGCTGCCAGCTGGATTTGACAATATAGGGCTAGACGGATCAAAACTCTGACTCTGTGTAAAGCACTGGGTTGGTAAAGTGTAGCCCTTTGAATACAACTCCCATTAATCGTAGCTAGTATAGATGGTGGTGAACAATTATGGGATCTGCAGTCCAGCCACTTCTATAGGGCTACCCTTTGCCTGCCTTTGTTTTTTGTTGGTTGGCATGATTTATTTTGTAGGCAGTTGTGTACTGTTTAATGTAACCTAAATGATGTGAAAGCTGGCTAGATAGCTCAATGAGTTGGTATCTGGTTGTGGAATCAGAGGTTGGGAGTTTGATTCCTTGCTGTGTCTCCCAAGAGAAGAGCCAGCCTGGGTGGCCTTGGGCCAACTGCACAGTCCCAGGGCAGTCCCAGAAGAGGAGACAGAGGTGTGTTTTCAGGGGAGGAGTGTTTTCTTTCCTTGCGTTGAACTCCTGCACTTCGCTTTCTTCTGCCTTGAACAGTTGTCCAATGTTTTGTGCATAGGTCCACTTATCAGCCGCCAAATATTCCGATTCAGCGAAGAAGGTCTTGTGAACGCCCGGTTTGACTACAGTTACAACAACTTCCGAGTCACCAGCATGCAGGCCATGATCAACGAAACACCCCTCCCCATTGACCTGTATCGCTACGTGGACGTGTCGGGGAAAACGGAACAGTTTGGGAAATTCAGCGTCATCAATTATGATCTGAATCAAGTGATAACCACCACAGTGATGAAGCATACGAAGATTTTCAGTGCCAATGGGCAAGTGATTGAAGTCCAGTATGAAATCCTGAAGTCCATAGCTTACTGGATGACCATTCAGTATGACAATATGGGCCGCATGGTGATTTGTGACATCAGAGTGGGCGTAGATGCCAACATCACAAGGTATTTTTGTGAATACGATGCTGACGGCCAACTTCAGACAGTCTCGGTGAATGATAAAACTCAGTGGCGTTATAGCTATGACCTCAACGGCAACATTAATCTGCTCAGCCATGGCAACAGTGCGCGGCTTACCCCTCTAAGGTACGATCTGAGAGATCGCATCACAAGACTGGGAGACATCCAGTACAAAATGGATGAAGATGGCTTCCTTAAACAAAGAGGAAATGACATATTTGAGTACAGTTCAAACGGCTTCCTGAGCAGAGCTTATAACAGGGTTGCTGGTTGGACGATCCAGTATTGCTACGACGGGCTAGGGCGACGGGTGGCCAGCAAATCAAATCTCGGACAGCACCTTCAGTTCTTTTATGCAGACCTCTCCAATCCAGTAAGAGTGACTCACCTGTACAATCATAGCAGTTCCGAAATCACATCCCTGTATTATGACCTTCAGGGGCACCTGATAGCTATGGAATTAAGCAGTGGCGAAGAATATTACGTTGCCTGCGACAACACGGGCACGCCTCTAGCCATCTTCAGCAGCCGCGGCCAGGTGATCAAGGAAATTCTTTACACACCTTATGGAGAGATTTATCAGGACACCAACCCAGAGTTCGAAGTCATCATTGGTTTTCATGGAGGGCTGTACGAGCCGCTCACCAAGCTGGTGCACCTGGGGCAAAGAGATTATGACGTCCTTGCTGGACGTTGGACAACGCCAAACCATCACATCTGGGAAGAGCTGAAGAATGCTCCAAAGCCATTCAATTTGTATGCCTTCGAGAATAACTATCCCACAGGCAAAATCCAAGATGTGGCTAAATATACGACAGGTAAATATACGACAGGCTAAATATACGACAGGTAAAGTATTTGTATGGGGTTGTGAGGGATATTTCTGGCCAGACCTGTTGGAGTATTTACAACCTTGCATGCTGATTGTAGTTTGTTTTTCTGGGTTGGGGTGACTGTCTATCTCACCAGCATTAACGAATCATTCCCTCATGCCTCAGAAATCAAAGAGAGCCCCGCCTCTCTACTGAGAGTTCTATTTTCCTCCCTTAAGACTGTTGAAGTCTGTTGGTTTATGAATTCAGTTGTTTGTTAGTTTTGCTGTTATCTGTCCACAGAATGAAACTTTTTTTTATTATTTCTGCTACCAATGTCTCAGGGTGAGTTCTAGGGCTGGTAAGTGCCAGCTAATGAGAAAGTGGTGGGCTAGCTCAGGAACATGAAGCTGTTCTTCTCTGTGGATTTGTGTATTTCTCCTGTGCAGCAAAAGGAGTTTAACCAAAAATTTTAAACTCTGCAACAAATAGAATGTGCAATAGGATGGCGCTTGTTTAGTTACCCCAAGTGGACTTTTTTTTCTTGCAGAACATGTTGGGGCTCAGCTCGGCCAAGGTCACCCAAGCTTCCCGTTCCTGCCTCGATGTTAGCTGGGAGCTTTCTTTCTGAACGGGAAGTTGGACTTTTTTTTTCTTACAGAACATGTTGGGGCTCAGCTAGGCCAAGGTCACCCAAGCTTCCCATTCCTGCCTCAATGCTAGCTGGGAGCTTTCTTTCTGAACGGGAAGCTAGGAGGAGCTGGGCCCGGCTAAGACTCAGTGCCTTCTAACTCAAGCCTTTCTACCATGTGCATCTCACTGAGGTGTTTGAAAGGTGTCCCCGAGGTAGGAAGAGCTCCCTGGATGGAGCATTGTGGCAGCTGTCATCTAAATCCGAAAATCCTATCCTTGGAGTATATGTGTAACAAATAAAAGAATAAGCAAAGCACTCTGGTTGGTATTTACAGCAGTCTTTAGTTTAACTGTTACATCAGTGTGACAGTGGAACTCATGACCACTGGAGGCATCCAAGGGAAAATGGGACAGCCATCTGTCAGATCCGCTTTGATTTGGATTCCTGCCTTGAGTAAGAGGTTGGACTCAATGGCCGTAGAGGCCCCTTGCAACTCCATTATTCTACGAGCCTATGAGTCTATAATTAGGTAGAAACTGGAATTCAACAGGGTGAAAAAAAGACCCCCACTATACAAATAGTGCATGTTTTATCTTACTGTGAACTATTCTGCAAACATGAGTCCACCTTGGGTTGTAGGACATTATGCTGGATTTCCATGACCAATTTGTTGTTAATCTCCAGATAGATTAAAAAAGAATAATAATCCCCCATCCCGCTTGTGCTGTTTCCTTGGATAATCAAAATCCTAGACCCACCTTCAGACTCACTTGAAAATCCCTTGCAAGTATGCATTACTAGGAAATCTTTGCACCTGGCATTATTGTCTCCAACAAATTGTTAGAGAATATTTTAAATACAACATACTGTTACATGGTTCTCGAAAATATTTAAATAAAACATGCTAATTGGAAAAGGCGCTAATTAAATCTCAGCCTCAGTTTGCTCGGCTCCTGGAAAAAGGGGGAAAGTCGCATTTTTTAAATCAATTGCACATGTATTCTAAGCACCCATCTATATGTGCTAAATTTTTCTTGACAAATTAGGGTTCACTTCTGGCTACTGGTTTCATTAAATACAGCTTGCAGTAGGTGACATAACAGGTTTGTCTATTCTGGCTCTCAAGGGAAGAAATATTGTAATGAGGGAGCAATGTGAATATGGTAGAATTAACTCCAGGAGGCAGTGGAAGACAGGAGGGCCTGGTGTGCTCAGTCGGATACGACTAAACAACAACAACAAAGACACTCAACAACTTTATCTTGCCTATGTTGACATAGAGGTAAATCCTATTGCTTCTCATCAACTGGCACTTAGGGGGTCTCAATAACGCACTATGAGTCATGGGTAAGAGAAAGAATAAAATATTTTATTTACTTACAGTCAAACAGATCTACAGCAAGCTGAACAAACATGGCTGGCTGACTTTCAGCAGCAGGCCTCAACAGCCTACTCTGACTGCTCTCCACCAGATTCTTGCAGGCTCCATTCTAACAGCACACTGACTGCTGCACTGATAAAAAGAGAGGGGGAAAGTGACACTGAATCAGAGAGGTGGGGCTCTCTTTGAAACCAGAGGCAGGGAAATGAACAATTGGTTACTGCTGGAATGATTGACAGCCACCCCAGCCCTGAAGAGTTCTTCCCAACCACACCTACTAGAGGCAGCATGTGAGGTTGAAATAACTCTGTTAGCTTCTTTATGTGCAAAGTAAAGGGTTGCCTCCTGCCTTTTGCCTGAAGTAGTCAAGTGTTTTGGGCCACATGAAACTGTTAAGAAGAAAGCTAGAAGGGTCATTTGTCTTTTAAACGTTATAGACAAACGCCAAACATGAAAGAGTAGCAGGACATTGTAATACATACGGATGTGCAACCGTGTAATTAAATTTTTAAAAATGCTCCATGAGTTTTCTTAACACACACGAGTTGCAGGCAGAAGGAAGAGAGAATTGGTGCAAATCAAAACCTACATCCTGATTTTATCTTAAGGATTTCTAATGTAAAAGGATGCTAAATTAAATAAGATACATTTAATGTTTGTGAGTGCTGGCTGGATAGCTCAGTCAGTAAGGTATCCAGCTGCATAACTACAAGTTGAGAGTTTGATTCCCAACTGTACCTCTAGGGAGAAGAGCCAGCCTGGTTGGCCTTGGGCCAGCTGCACAGTCCCAAGGTTGCCCCCTAGAGGAAGGGAAGGGTAAAGCACTTCTGAGTAATCTCTACCTAGAAAACCCTGAAGAGTCACCATAAATCAAAATTGAAAGCACGTGATTATTATTAATGTTCATGAACCTTAATGCCAGTGCGAGACTGGTGTTCAACATGCTAACTGTATTCTTCATTTTATTTGTAGATATTGGTAGCTGGCTCGAACTGTTTGGGTTTCAGCTCCACAATGTACTTCCTGGATTCCCAAAACCCGAGATTGATACTTTTCAGACAACATATGAACTTGTTCAGCTTCAAACCAAGACTCAAGAATGGGACCCAGGAAAGGTTAGCCAAAAAAAAGCCTTCTTTGTTGCCTCTCCTTTAGAAACTGTAATGAGAGATGTTCTCAGTCAATAAATAGCAATTGACTTGGTCCACCTTTGCCGTCATCTTACATCCATTAGGGATGAGGGAATTCAGTTCTTTTTTGAAAATAATTAACCCACATTGATACATTTTCTTGCTTATGAGGGAAAAAAATCTAACGCAAAAAATGTGCATCTTCATATGCGTGTTTAATAAAAAGGACATATGCAGGAAAAAATCCCCCAGCCTGGTCCAGCTTTTGGCAATGTGTATGCATAGTTTTCTGAATGCCAAAGTGGTGCCTCGCTTAGCGAGCGCACCGAGAATTACACATACTGTGCGGGCAGAAGACGGTGTGTCTTTTTTCTCTGTAATGAACTATAGAAACTTCCATGATGTATATTGTTTCTGTCCACTTCTCCATGATATCTATTGTTTCTGTCCACTTCTCCATGATGTATATTGTTTCTGTCCACTTCTCCATGATATCTATTGTTTCTGTCCACTTCTCCATGATATCTGTTGTTTCTGTCCACTTCTCCATGATATCTGTTGTTTCTGTCCACTTCTCCATGATGTATATTGTTTCTGTCCACTTTTCCAGACTATACTTGGCATACAGTGCGAACTTCAAAAGCAACTCAGAAACTTCATTTCCTTGGACCAGCTTCCGATGACCCCCAAATACAGTGACGGGAGATGTGTGGAGAGAGCCAAGCAACCCAGATTTGCTGCTGTTCCCTCCGTGTTTGGGAAAGGCATCAAGTTTGCCATCAAAGACGGCCTGGTAACCGCCGATGTCATTGGCGTGGCCAACGAAGACAGCCGGCGAATTGCCGCCATCCTCAACAACGCTCACTACCTGGAGGACCTGCATTTTACCATCGATGGGCGAGACACGCACTATTTCATCAAGCTCGGGTCTTTGGAAGAAGACCTGACACTCATCGGCAACACCGGGGGGCGGAGGATTTTGGAGAACGGGGTCAACGTCACCGTGTCTCAGATGACCTCAGTCATCAATGGGAGGACTAGACGGTTTGCCGACATCCAGCTCCAGCACGGCTTCTTGTGCTTTAACGTCCGCTACGGGACGACGGTAGAGGAAGAGAAGAACCACGTCTTGGAGGTAGCCAGGCTGAGAGCGGTGGCTCAGGCTTGGACTAAGGAACAGAAGCGCCTCCAAGACGGGGAAGAAGGCATTCGGGCTTGGACAGAGGGGGAAAAACAGCAGCTTCTAAGTACTGGGAAAGTACAGGGCTATGACGGGTATTTTGTTTTATCTGTGGAGCAGTATCTGGAACTTTCTGACAGTGCCAACAACATTCACTTTATGAGACAGAGCGAAATAGGCAGGAGGTAACAAACATACACACGATCTCTGCCTTTGCATCACCAAAGACTGCCTGTTGTTGTTGTTTTTTTAAAAAAAGAGAAAACCATTAAGTAAAGATTTATTGTATTGGTTTTTCTAGATCAGAACTCTGTGTATATATAAATATATAGAAGGAGGGAAAAAAACATATCCAACTGCCTTTAAATGTGACAGAAGATGGTATTTTAATATAGTTTATTTAAACTCTCTGGGAGAAGGTAGTGGTTTTTAAGTTGCCAGGACGGCTGCATTCGAGATTTGGAATGCGGCCTTCCCAGGGTTGATCTCCATTTGGAAATGTTTCATGTGGGCAAAATACTTAACAGTGCAATGTTACCCATGTCTACTTAGAAATAAGTCCCACTAAGTTCAATGTGGCTTACTCCCAGGGAAGTATGTATAGGGTGGCAGCATTAGGGCTCGCTTTCTTTCCATCTTCAGGACACCGTTTATTAATTTTGGTAATTTACAAAGAAGTGGTTGGGGCCAATGTCTGTTGTCTCTTGATCTAATTCATGACCCATCACCAACCATCTTCACAAGCTATATTTTCGGAGAGCCTTCTGGAGACAAGGTACGGGAAAAACAGCAGCTTCTAAGTACTGGGAAAGTACAGGGCTATGACGGGTATTTTGTTTTATCTGTGGAGCAGTATCTGGAACTTTCTGACAGTGCCAACAACATTCACTTTATGAGACAGAGCGAAATAGGCAGGAGGTAACAAACATACACACGATCTCTGCCTTTGCATCACCAAAGACTGCCTGTTGTTGTTGTTGTTTTTTTAAAAAAAGAGAAAACCATTAAGTAAAGATTTATTGTATTGGTTTTTCTAGATCAGAACTCTGTGTATATATAAATATATAGAAGGAGGGAAAAAAACATATCCAACTGCCTTTAAATGTGACAGAAGATGGTATTTTAATATAGTTTATTTAAACTCTCTGGGAGAAGGTAGTGGTTTTTAAGTTGCCAGGACGGCTGCATTCGAGATTTGGAATGCGGCCTTCCCAGGGTTGATCTCCATTTGGAAATGTTTCATGTGGGCAAAATACTTAACAGTGCAATGTTACCCATGTCTACTTAGAAATAAGTCCCACTAAGTTCAATGTGGCTTACTCCCAGGGAAGTATGTATAGGGTGGCAGCATTAGGGCTCGCTTTCTTTCCATCTTCAGGACACCGTTTATTAATTTTGGTAATTTACAAAGAAGTGGTTGGGGCCAATGTCTGTTGTCTCTTGATCTAATTCATGACCCATCACCAACCATCTTCACAAGCTATATTTTCGGAGAGCCTTCTGGAGACAAGGTACACCCGTACATCATTTTCCTTCTGTGCCAGCAAAAGAGAGAGAGAGAGAAAAAAAAAAAACAAACCCAGCCTTTTAAAAATCACATCTATTAATCTAGGAGTTATGATGCTATTACACTGGCAATCGATGGCAGATAAATAATGTTTAGTCATTTTTTATGGGATGAATAGTTTCATTACAAGGGCAGTGAAAAGCAGTGAACCAAGGTTCAAGTTGCGTCATCTTGGCTCGGGAATTTTAGGAGGCAGAGCCCCCACCAAAATTAACTTTTTTTCCAAGTTCTGGTCAAGATTTCAGGAACTGAAGCATTACTTAATCATTGTTAAGTGACATATTGGATAATGACCTCTCATTTGTCAACTCGGAGTATATTGAATGTAAAGCATGGGGTGTGTCCTTTTGTCCAGTATTCCCACTGCAAGTTTACCTTTACGATGATCACTGGGTACAGAAAGAATCACGATACTGGTCATAAGAAATCCGGAGCCCTTGCAGCTGCCGTGTGGGTTGTCATCACCTTAGCCTCTCTGTATTTTCCCACAGATATAGAAAGCTGTTGTCTGTAAGGAAAAATTTCCTTGGTTTCCCTGATCTTACCATCCTGTGTGTAAAATGGAAAAAAAACATCAAATAATGTTGTCATGTTATGAGCTGTGATTGGCTATTGCAAGAGTGGGGAATATTTGATCCTCTAGATCAGTGGTTCTCAACCTTAGGCCCCCAGATATTGTTGGACTACAACTCCCAGAAATCCTGACCAGCGTGGGTAGTGGGGATGGCTTCTGGGAGTTGCAGTCCAAGAACATCTGGGGTTACCAAGACTGGGAACCGCCACTTTAGATATTTTGGACTTCAAAGCCCTTGTGAGCATGTCCAATTGTAATGGATGATAGGGGTTGTAATCCAAAGCACGGAGAGGGCAGAACATGTATTGCCCTTAGTCTGACAGTTATATTGGGGGGCATTTTTTCAGGAAAAGCTGGATGCCAAGTCATAAGCCACATGGAGTCCTTATCTGTTCCCACCAAGACCAAACACAGAACGTTGTGATTCTCTATTCAATATGAAGGTGTCCCCAGCATGAAGAAGCCATAACAAACAGCTACAGGATAGACTTGTTTCAAACTTTGAGGTCCGTTCCTGTGAGAAAAATATGGGACGCTGAAATATGAGATGCAGTGGCTGAATCCTATGGGCATTTTGATACGGAACTGTGTGATTGTTTCCCCAGAGATGTACGGTGCAGTTGAGCAGTATTGACACTGCCAGGGAAAGTGGTTTGTGATTAGAAATGGGCACAAACTGGAAAAATTGGTTTGTGATTGTTCATCATTCATTGCTGTTCGCGAACTACGAGCCAGAAACCTTCTGACATAATGAACTGTTTCATGCTTTGTGCAGTTTTGGACTTTCAGGAGTGATAGAACAGCCCCCCCTATGAGTTAAAGACACCAAACCCACAGCGTGTCTTCAGCTGACGCTCCTTCCCACCCCTTCCAAGTTTGGCAAAAATTGGATTTGGGATGTCTGAAGTATTCCACCCCCCAAAAAAGCAGGTTCCCCCAAGGACGTGCTGTTTAGCAGCTGGCTAAACAGCACCTTCCTGGGAAGACCTCCTTCAGGGGGGCTATAACTCTGATGTTCGATACCCAAACTTTGCCAAGCTTAGAGGGGGTAGGGAGGAGAGTCATCCCAAGAGTCAGTCCAAATTTGGTGAAGATTGGGTTTGGGATGTCTAAGTTACTGCCCACGTACCAGTCGCCAATGGCGATAGCCATTCAGCATTTCATTCCTGTTCTGGGCAGGCGTGTTTTTCTGAAATGCTTCAAAACCAACCACGAAATGGCCCCCATTCATGGAGGGCTTTGCTTCCTGGTTCGTTTCGTGCCCATTTCTAATTGCTATGATTTGGTCAACTCGCAGATTTTTTCAGCAGTTCAGTGCATGTAGGTAGGCGTGTTATTCATAACAGCTTTCCCCATCTGGGGAGTGATGGCCAAGTGGCTCAAACAGTTATAAAAAAGTAATTTAGACAATATGAAATATCAACAGCAACATCCCTCCGAGCAACCCGAAATCATTAGATATGATTACAAAGTGTAGAGTACATACCAAAGGATCAGTTTTGGCCCACGTGATGTGCTGTGAATTGATTTTCTTTGGGGCAGAAATGGACTAGCTGAGGACAGCAGCTCGTGTCTCGAGAGTGTGATGAGCCTTTTTCAACAAAGCTTGGAAAAGTTACTCTCTTGGACTGTAACTCCCAAGTCCAGTGGCGTTCTGGAAGCTGTAGTCCAAGACAGTAACGTTTCTACCTTCTGCTCCCTTTTGACTTTGCTATGGGGGGTTAAACTGGATCTAGGATAAGCCTACTAAATCATGTGTCTGAGACTCCACCACTGCTGTTTCTGTATCAGTCGGTCTGATGCAGCGGCCATTTCCATGAGGAAGTAGAGGACTTGAATATGGGCGTTCAGATCCTCAAATATGCACTTTTCTAACCCACAGAGAAAACACACATGCATTGCTGAACATATAGGAAATGCATTGGTGATTCCCCAATCTAAGATGTCAGCTCTAATAATTCTGTTTATAAATCTAAGGAACTCCCTACTTTTGTAACCCAAGAATTAAGGGATTCTTTTCGGAAGGCTTTAAAATATCCGGAAGGAACAAAGATTTTGAATCGCTTACTGAATATTATGAATTTGGAGTGTGCATTTCTAGTATGTAATACATGTTATGTTAGCTTTGTGCCTTGAGTTGCTTATAGTTATATTTGTATTATATGCAGAACTGGCACTTTATATTGGTGACCACAGAGGGTTTTTTAACGATGCCTTGAATGTTGTTTTATTATTCAGCCAAAAGCCAATGAAATGAAAGGAGCTATTCCTCCTTTCTGGCATTGATCAACAGAATTGCCCGGGTGTCTGTTTGTGGGCGCTGCTTGGTATAAAATATGAGATAGAAAAATATTAAATAACTGTGATGTTAGAGCTTGGTGGCATAAGGAAAAAAATGTTTTCATCAGGTCTGCTTCTGAAATTCGGGGACGGGGGGGTGGAATATGGTATGTTGTTGTCGTTTACAAATCAGAATATGACCCCACCAAGTTCCGCTTCTGGAATGACCTATGTGTTGATGCAGATGCAGAGTGTTGGAATGGAATTAACCCTTTGATGACATATTTAGGCTACATTTAGAATGTGCCTTACTCTGTTGAGTCTAGAGAAGGCTGTGCTTCATGAGACAATATTCAGTCTAAATAATCATCCTGGCTTATTGGTGTTATCCCTTCTTTTAGTGATAAATACTTTATCTTTGGGGGGAAAAGTGGAATCAGAAAGTTGTAACAAGTTTCCAATATTTGTCTAATCCAAACCACCCACTTCCCACAGATGAAAAACAAATATCTGCTACTACAGCATTCCTCAGAGGCACATAATTGGAGCATTTTCTTAAAAAACCTCTAAGGAAGAGAAGTTGACAACCTTCTGGGGCAGTCTCTTCTTACCCACTGTCCAGAAAACTCATTTTTGCCATTTTAAACAACAACTACAGTAGGACACCCCCCCATCCGCTGGATCAGCATCCGTAGATTCATGTATCTGCTGCCTGAAAATATTAAATTAAAAACAGAGAAATATGTATTTATATTTATTTCCACAGTATGCATACACCTGAACTAGCCACTAGTGGGAGCCAGAAACAATACTACATATAGCATTTGTTACTTTCAGGTAGCAAATGCAGGAATACATCCGTGGTCAGGGGGGCTTGGAAACAAATCCCTATAGATACCATGGCCCTACTGTATCTCATTTAACTATCAAAAAAATCAAACTAGAAGATATGCTTAGCATGTGGTTAGAAGTGGTGCTCCCTCCAAAGTTAGAACAGTCTGTTTAACCTTGCTGGGGTTTTTTTTTAGTGTCCTTTTGTTTTGTCATAGGTCATCAGAAAGTAAACAAGGGCTTCATGCGCAAGTTTTGTTGTCAAGGAAATCCTGTCACTGGAGGCAAAGTGAGGTAACCATAGATGATAGACAGTTCCTTCGCTATCTAATTAGACTCAGAGCCAATCACTGTGGATTTGTGTGGCAATCTCTATTCCTTTGTTTCCCAACTTTCTAGTACAGCAGTGGTGGGTTAGTTATATAAATATGCCAGTCAAAGCAGAGGACATAGCATTCAGATACTACGTGTGGGGATATTTTTTGTGTTTGCAGGTTACAGTGGACCATCTTCCATTGCACAAAATAAAGCAATTAAGATCAGGGCTATAACTGGAATTAAGCACCGGGGCTTTGCCTCGGGGCAAAATTTAGATGGAAACAAAATCTAGAGGTGAAGCTGCTGGTGTATGTTAAGAGAACAAACTGCCGTACCCCCTGTCCTTTTCTCCATTTTCCTATGATCTGGAATAGAGATGGGCACGATCCAGAAAAATTACGAACCGCCGTCGGTTCAACCAACTCCGAACCCTGGAATCATGGGCCAGTCTGCCGTTCGTTTTTCAGGTTCATGCCTGGGAGGAGGGGGATCTAACGCCTTCTAGGAACAGGGCTTGCTGTCTTGGAAGATGGCAACTGAGGAGGAGGAAGAGGAGGAAGCAGGAGGACCCAGTAGAGAGGAGATGGGGCAGCAGGGAGGGCGAGCCTCCAATTTGCCGAAACAAAATGAAGCACTGAGCAGAAAAAAAAGTTCAGCACTTTGTTTCGGTTTTGGCAAAACCGCTTGCACGAACTGAATCACGAACCAGCCTGATTCGTGGTTCGTAGTTCGGTTCGTGCCCATCTGTAATCTAGAAGCATAGGCTTTCTCTTCCTCCTTTGGGGTGGGGTCGCGCACTCTCTCTCCCCCTTTTCTTTGGAAGTTGGCAGCTATACATCCGAGGCAAGGGGATGGGAGACAGTGCTGATTGCCCCAGCAGCCAGAAATGCTAGTTAAAGGTCTCTGATCACATAAAAGAAAACACCGTTATTTTCTCCTGCTTTTTATGTATCTGGAGAACACAGGGGATAGAGGCACAAGTAGCTCAAGTGACAAAACAATTTTAATCAAGGGGAAAAAAAAGAGTTCCTGAAAGCATGGCCCGTTAACACCCAGCAGGAATGCGGCCACAACGAACACAGAAGTTCCACAGTTATTTGAGGGCGAGGGGGTTGAAGACATCTTGAATTAAATCTATAGAATTTAAAAGGCAAATGTTACTTCAGCGGTTACTCGGGCTTACCTTTGTTGCAGAGTTCTGAATTTTGGTTAAATTTTTCTGGCTGTGTAGCAGAAATGCAGGGATTCACACAGCAGAATAGTTTCAAGTTCCCCCAGAGTAGTCCACCCCTTTTTCTCATTAACTGGTAATTTTGGCATCAATAGCTCACTCAGAGACCTTAGTGAGAGAAAGAATAAATGCCATTTTCTTTACTAAACGTTATGAACAGATCAAACAGCAAACTGACAAAACATGGCTGCTCTCAGCAACAAGCCTCCAACGACTGGCTCCTCACCAGAAGAAAGGAGGAGGGAAAGGCTCTTAACAGAGAAGGATGGCTCATTTTTAATTCAGAGCCAGAGAAGGAACAATTGGTTAGTGCTGTTAGTCACTGATAGTCACCCCAGACCGGAAAGGTCCCTCCCAGCCACAGCTACTATAAGCAGCATGTGAGATTGCAATTGCTCCAACACATTCTACTTGAAATTAAGGATGTACTGGCCTGAATCCTGTTACATACTGTATTTCTGCCAGTGTTAACTCCATTGCAGACACTCCATTATTGTAAACTGTCATAAGTAAAGAAGTTTATATGGGTATTTGTTATTGCATACTGAATCACTAATCATACTAAACCCTAACAGGATTCTAGCCAACGAACCCACACAGATTTTTTTCTCTCCTTGACACGACACCCTGTTGGAAAAGTAGTCCACTGTTGTGAGGTTCTTCCTTCCTGCACGAATTTTTAAAGGCTGGGATGTGTTTTAATTCCAACCAAAACAAAAACACTATGTCTTTGCACAAAATCATATTTTTGTGTTTTAAAAAGGTCTCTTTTTTTTAGTACAAACCCTTTAATTTGTTGTCATCAGCCTTGCAAATACAGTGGTGCCTCGCATAACGCTTTTTAGTACAAACCCTTTAATTTGTTATCATCAACCTTGCAAATACAGGAGTTTGTCTCAATTGCAAGATTTTAATTCTGTGCGTTTTTCACAAGAAATGTTTTTAAAAAATGTCCCAAGCTGTCAAAACCTCACAGGAGTTTGTCTCAATTGCAAGGTTTTAATTCTGTGTGTTTTTCACAAGAAATGTAAAAAAAAATGTCCCAAGCTGTCAAAACCTCACCCAGCAGTGGAAAAAAACCTCTGAAGTTTTTCATTGGCATCTGCAAGCACAAAATCCATGATCTGTATACATTTTTTTTTTTTTACTTAAAACTCATTTTCTGTCATTGTGGCAACTTAGAAGAATCATAGCAAAAGTGTGCCCTGACCTTCTGGTGAACAAGCCAGTCGGGGCCAACCAAGGTCAGGAGGCAAAAACAATGCCCAGAAACCGTAGAATATTTGGGTCAGTTTGTATTCTTCCTGCAAATGTAGCACGTCATTGATACCGTCTGCATAGCTTACACAGTTGTTGTTCCCAATTGAGTGAAGTTTCTGTAAGAAGCATCATCCTCCATAGTGTTTGCTCAGGGGTGGCCGAAACTGTCAGAGTGATGTAAGAAAGAGTCAAAAACTCAGTGAGAAAAATAAGCTGGGTGAACGAAGGGGCGTTTGGTCCCCAGAAAGGGGTCGGGGTATGAAGCAGCAGCATGATCTTACCAAGGCTCTCCTTCCAAAACAAGGATTGGCACCATGTGGGCCCTCCAGAGGTTACAGTTTTCATCAGTACTATTGAACGGAGTCAGTGGTGAGGAATGATGGAAGATATGACCTAACAGCCTCCGGAGGAGTGCAGGTTCCCCTTCCTTGTTTGAAATGAGGGCAGTAACAACTTGGAAGGCAAGAAGTTGAAAGGTGGAAGGCAACAGGAAAAGAGGAAGACTAAATAAAAGATGGATTGACTCAGTAAAGAAGCCACGGATTTCAGTTTGCAAGAGCTGAGCAGGGCAGTTGAGGACAGGGCGTTTTGGAGATTGTTCATTCGTGGGGTTGCCATAACTAGGAGGCCACTTGACAGCAGACAAGGAAAAAAATTGAACAGAATAAAATAGTAATTGTACATGGGATATTGTAACAAAGTCCAAGAGACGGCTAAGGAACCTGAGTTTCACAAGAACATATATTTTAACATGATTATGGGTGCTATAAAATGTGTCTATACATTCTATAGTCTGCTGTATTCCTGCAGTTTCTCCTCCGAACATACAGCATGGTGGCTTACACAGATCTTGAACAGAAACTGGTAGCCATCGAATTCAGCTTCACTATGGATTGTTCTTGGCTCTTGCCACTAATATTATCAGTTGAAGAGACTGTGTTTGCCAGTTACAACCTTTTCTTAGATTCAGTGGTGAACGTTATCCTCTTAATAAACACTAGTATAACCATGTGTGTCCTTGACGATATTTCACATCCCACAACTCTCCATGACAAAATGTTGGAACTGATAAACAAGGTGTTGGTAAACACTCAGCAAAGCCTAGCATATGGTGTTATATCAAGTACTAGGTTTATTTTTCAATAATAATAATAATATCATGGGAAGTAATGATGTTTACAATGTATGCCAAGATGTTCCATTCTGTCTAACAACCACAGTTCTAATCTTACTGAAATTGTAATCGGAAATGGCCTGGGCTTTGTTGCTTAGAAACAACAGATTCCAGTGTTGTATTCCTGCTCTGAACAGAGGCTCCATACGGTAGAGGATTGTGTTCAGTAGCTGCCGTGAAAACATTTTGTTGCGTTTTTTTTTTGCTCTGGTTTTCAGACTGGAAGCATGTCTTTTCTACAATCCATGACAATGACCGGCTGTAGATAGTTAAAACTTAATATATGATGTGTTGACATTTGAAAGACAAAGTACTTTGAATATTTCATTTTTAAAAAATAAAGTTGCAAAGAACTAAACTTAGCGGTGGTGCTGTTGGTGGCTGACATTATTTTTTTGAGAGAAAAACAGTCTTCCTTTCATCCCAAATGATGGGTTTCGTGGTGGAATTTATACTTTTTGAAGTCTTACTTTATGCTCATTTTGCTCTTTATATATTCTTTCCACGGAAAATCCTCCGTCTGCTCATCTCTGTTTGATTCCATTACTTCGGGCGAGCAATTGAAATCCAGCAGAGGGCATGAGTATTTTATTTTGTAATAGCCATGTAAGCCATAACTCTTCCACAATGACCAAACTAGGATAACACAAGGACATTCAACAAATAATACTGTATTTGTTTAGTATTTACTGTTGCAGAGTTTTGAAGTTTTGTAGTTAACTTTTCTCAGCTAGGGAATGGAAGTGCCAGGATTCACATATTATTAGTTCCCAGGTAATCCACCCATTTTCTCATGAACTGGCACTTACAGTCTCAGTGACTCACTCTGAGACACTAATAATATAAAGAACAAAACTGGTTCATTTTGCTTACAATTTGATTACATCAACAGTATATTAACTAACAACGTGACTGTTTTTAATTATTCTGCTTCAGTATACTTATAACACACATTTTTACAAACCACTATCAATGGACATTAACAACTCTCTTGAGGAAAAAGAACTCTCAGCAGAGAGGCGGGGCTCCCTTTGAATTTCAAAGACAGGAGAGAATGATTGGTTAATGCTGACGGATTGACAGTCCCAAGAAAACAAACCTCGTATGTTGAGGTTGCAATAAATGCCAACACTTTCAGATGTTCAAAAGACTTCACATGCATTATCTAGTTGTAATCTCTAGACAATTCATATTACATATAGAAGATGGGATTTGGAATTACGATTAAAGACTGCCTTCAAACAAGACAAGGTGTACATAGTTGGTGCACAAATAAAACCTTTCTGCCACATCTTGTTATTTAAGTGAAGGAAAGAGGAAGCAATGGAAAGAAACATGGGAAAAGATAAACGCAAGCCTCAGAAATCAGTTTATGAGATAAAAAAGCAACAGCACAAAACATATGAAGAAGAAATGAGATCCTAATAACTTCCAGCCCTGTTGTCCCCTAACGAAACGTGGTGGTTTGTGTAATCGTTGTGTAAATCTCTCTTCACTTCTAACCTGTAGCACAAGTCAGATGAGATTAAGATTGCTTGTTTAAGGACATGTTAGGAGACCATTACAGAGAGTGGGTTCCAACCAAGATCTTCCCAGTTTATAATCTAGTCATTACACACCACATTAATATGAACAAATTTAACAGCTTTTCCAAGAGGAAATAAATGCCGAAGTTTCTGAAACAGCTTTCAGTGCACGTTACTGTGATCAAGCTCGGAAAAGGTAAAAGTTACAGGATGAAACTCTTGAGAGCATGTATGTATGTATGTATGTATGTATGTATGTATGTATGTATGTATGTATGTATTTATTTATTTATTTATTTATTTCCCATTTTCTCATGAACTGGCACTTACAGTCTCAGTGACTCACTCTGAGACACTAATAATATAAAGAACAAAACTGGTTCATTTTGCTTACAATTTGATTACATCAACAGTATATTAACTAACAACGTGACTGTTTTTAATTATTCTGCTTCAGTATACTTATAACACACATTTTTACAAACCACTATCAATGGACATTAACAACTCCCTTGAGGAAAAAGAACTCTCAGCAGAGAGGCGGGGCTCCCTTTGAATTTCAAAGACAGGAGAGAATGATTGGTTAATGCTGACGGACTGACAGTCCCAGGAAAACAAAGCTCGTATGTTGAGGTTGCAATAAATGCCAACACTTTCAGATGTTCAAAAGACTTCACATGCATTATCTAGTTGTAATCTCTAGACACTTCATATTACATATAGAAGATGGGATTTGGAATTACGATTAAAGACTGCCTTCAAACAAGACAAGGTGTACATAGTTGGTGCACAAATAAAACCTTTCTGCCACATCTTGTTATTTAAGTGAAGGAAAGAGGAAGCAATGGAAAGAAACATGGGAAAAGATAAACGCAAGCCTCAGAAATCAGTTTATGAGATAAAAAAGCAACAGCACAAAACATATGAAGAAGAAATGAGATCCTAATAACTTCCAGCCCTGTTGTCCCCTAACGAAACGTGGTGGTTTGTGCAATCATTGTGTAAATCTCTCTTTACTTCTAACCTGTAGCACAAGTCAGATGGGATTAAGATTGCTTGTTTAAGGACATGTTAGGAGACCATTACAGAGAGTGGGTTCCAACCAAGATCTTCCCAGTTTATAATCTAGTCATTACACACCACATTAATATGAACAAATTTAACAGCTTTTCCAAGAGGAAATAAACGCCGAAGTTTCTGAAACAGCTTTCAGTGCATGTTACTGTGATCAAGCTCGGAAAAGGTAAAAGTTACAGGATGAAACTCTTGAGAGCATGTATGTATGTATGTATGTATGTATGTATGTATGTATGTATGTATGTATGTATTTATTTATTTATTTATTTATACCCCGCCCATCTAGTCAATTGACTACTCTGTAAGGAGTAGAATGAATGCGTCAGTTAAGGACCCGGGAGACCTGACTTCAATTCCCCTGAGTTGAAGCTGATGGGTGTTGTAGTCCTGGCCAGACAGGCTCTGCTCTCAGCTATTTATAAAAAACGAGGGTTCCTCCAGGTCAACTAGACTGCCAGCCCTCTCCCCACACACCCCAGAAAAGGGCCATAGGCCATTTTAGGCATCCCTCCCTTCAGGATGGGAACTGTAGTCCAAACACCCAGCATATATACACATGCACTGTACATATATCAGTACGTACACACAGATGCAAAGGGTAGGGTTCATAAAGGTCGGGGGGGGATGATGTGCGTGTTTACATATATCTATATACTATAAAGAGAGAGAGAGAGAGAGAGAGAGAGAGAGAGAGAGGTGTGTGTGTGTGTGAGAGAGACACAAAGGCTCCTCCCATCCTCTATCCACTCTATACTTTTCTATCTCTAGGGTGGTGGGGGGGAAAAAACCGTTCCCCGTGACGTCAGCGTCGTCGTCGTCTCCCGGCTGAACGCGATGAGCTCATCCGCTGGCCCTCGGCCCCGCCCCTTCCCTCGCGTCAGGACCGTCGGGGCGGAAGTGACGCACTCGGGCCGGTGAGGCGGCTGAGGGAACCGCTGGTGGTGCTGCCCGCCGTCGCCGCCCCTCCGTCTCCTCGTCCCCGTCTGGGCCCGGCCCTCTTGGGTGCCTGACGCCGCCGCCGCCGCCGCGGCCTCGCCTTTCCTTCCCTTTCCCTCCGAGGCCCTCCCGCCATGTCTGCCCCCGGAGGAACCGGCGGCGAGTTCGGGAACCCGCTGCGCAAGTTCAAGTTGGTCTTCCTGGGCGAGCAGAGCGGTGAGGCGGGGGCGGAGGCGGGCGGGACCGCGGCGTTCCCTCAGGGCAGGCCCTCCCCCGTTCCATCTCGTTCCCGTTAACGCGTTCCTTTGCCGTTACAGCTCCCCGAGCCTTGCTTTCGTTCGCCCTTCCTCAGAGCGGTTGGGGGGGGGAAGGGGGTTTGGCGCTTCTTAAATATCTTACGTCCTCCTTGCTTTCAGCTTTCCGTCTCCTCAGGAGTTCAGCTGCCTGGGTAGACTAAAGGGTTTCCAGCTTTAAATACCCTTTAAAGGCGAGCTGCCTCGGGTCCCCCCTCTTGAAAGGAGGCAGGCCGGGCAAAAATCATTTTAAAAGCCAGTTAAAAACTTGGCTATTCAAGCAGGCCTTCCCCCCCCCCCGTCAATTAAATCATTTCTATTTCTATATCTTTTCTTTTTAAGTCATGCCATCTTGGTAATGTGTCGCTTGGAATTAATTGGTAGAATTGTATTTTTTTGTGATTTTATTTTTCTCATATTGATGTGCTTTTATCTATGTAAGCCACCCCAAGTAGACATTGTCTAGAGGGGCGGGGTAAAAAGGATCCGATGAAATAAATAATAAATAAAATTAAAGAAGTCGAGCCCAAATAGATAAAACAATCACTAAAACGTGCCAGGGTCCTCCCGCCTCGCAGGGATGAAAATTAAAACAGAAAAAAAAGAAGATTGGGAGAGGGGCGGTTAGGAAGAGGAAGAAATAATATTGTATGTAGTTTTGGTATCTATGTGGGTCTGTGCTGGCCATCTCAGGCCAAAAAGCAAAGGAAAATAAAATAATAAAGACCTAATAAATAAATAACACTGAACTTGGAAGACTTACAACACACCGGCTGTGTTGTAATGAGAGCTTTTGTGCCCAAGTCCACTTCCTGAGTGCATATCTTATTATTGCATGGCATGCTTGGAAAGAGGTGAATTGGATCCAGCTAAATCTTGTGCTAAAATAAATTTCTCAGTCTTGAAAGGACCACTGTATTTTTCTCTCTCTCTCTCTCTCCTTGAAACAGGCAGCCACCCCTACCTGGCTGGAAGCAGATGCAAAAATGGGAGTGATTTCTCCTCCCCTTTGCAAGGAGAGGACTGCGTTTAAATTTATCCCCTCCACATAGCCCTGCTCCTTGAAATTGCTGCTCTTTGGGTGGGGAAAGGAAATCAAGCTAAAATCCCATTGCTTAATGTAGTAACCTGCACTAGAGTAGGCTAATTGAGTCCATGGGCCTTTGGTGAGTCGTAATTTCCATTGATTCAATGGGTCTGCTCTAGCTGCAGTTGACTATCCAGAGCAACAGGGCTTCAGCCTGTACTCCTGTTTCTAAATTAAGCAAGGCTTCAGCCTGTACTCCTGTTTCTAAATTGATTCAGTTCCTTTAGGTGAAATGAGGTGAGACTACCACTGTTTAGTATTTCCATTTGTCTGCCCATTTAAGATGGGAGTGTGTGTTTCAAGGAATAAAGGAAATGGCAATTCTCTTATTCCACTCTTAATCGCCCCCCCCCCGCATATAGTGTATATCATAATGTGACTAAAAAGTTCCAGGTTCCCAGGAAAAACAGTTTACTATCCCTTACAATCTTGCTTTTCTTCCTTAAGATGAGCAAAGTGTACTCAACGGTGTAGGAGTTGCAAAAACTAAATACTGTAGATGTATTCTCAAAGGCTTTCACGGCCGGGATCCGATGGTTGTTGTAGGTTTTTTGGGCTGTTTGGCTGGGTTCTGGAGGTTTTTCTTCCGAACCTTTTGCCAGTCTCTGGCTCATCAAAAATAGAAGTGTTGAGTACTCATTATAACACAATCTGTTAGGGATCTCCATGGCGAAGAAATCCTGGAGGCAGATGACTAGTTGCTTTCCTGCCTATGTTTTGGTCTACCTAGCAGGGCTGATTTTCCAGTCCTTGTTTCCTCTAATGGCTAGTTTCTTTAGGCTGCTCTTGTGGCATCAGAGATTTGACTCATGTCAGCATTCTGAGCATAGGGGATCCTGGGGCAGTGTGGACACTGCAGGTCATTTGCCTGAGACTTTGCTTTCTTGGCACATGGAAGCAGGGAATGCTTGTGGTGTTGAGCCTGTCAGATGATGATCTCCTCACCTTCCGGCATCTCAACTGATCACACAAATTGATTCTCACTGGTAACAGAGGACATCTGCTAGGACACTTAATTGCCAAGTGTGTGAATAATAAAGCCAAGTTAAAATGATCTTTTACAGGGCAAGGCTGTGGCTGTTTTGCATAAATGTCTTTTCGGTGCTCTTGAGTTGCATTGTTGGCTACTGCTCAAAATATGTGGTATTAAAACACAAGGAGACAGCTAAGCAGTCAGTCATGGAATATTCCAGGGAAGGAACAATATAGAAACAGCGGGAGGCTTGAAGCCATGTGGTTTTCTAACCTGCCAAGCTTTATTTCAGCACAAGCTACTTCTGCCCACTAGTTCTGTAATTACAATAATTCTCAAATGATTGTTGTGGCTGATCTCATTTTGGTTAAAAGGAAAAAGAAGGAAACTTGAAGGGTAACTCAGGATAGATTTGACTTAAATCAAATTAGTTTAAATCACTGTTCAAAAATACTTTATTTAATCATGTAATTTTTTTTAAAAAAACCAAATGTCCATTTTTTTTACTGTCACCTTTCACATTCTCCTTGCTTTGATCGGCTCTACTTCCAGCAGTCCTCCATTCATTAGCATGCCCAGTGCATTTCCAGAGGGAAAGCAAGGACATTGACATGTTTTTATATATTTTTTCCTTTTTATTCTCTTGTGGCAAGTTTAATCAGGTGCTCCTTTTGTAGCTCCTCTGAAATCTTACCTGTAAATAAAATATTCTGTCTAGCCACATCTAAAGGGATCAACAGACCCAGAGTCTAGTGTTGTGCTTTGTAAATTGACTGGGCCTTTTGCAAAGGAGGAGTAGCGTAAGACGGCAAGTGGCAGAGAGTTTCCAGTCGTGCAAGGAAGTGTTTTGAATATCTTGCTTTCCAGCTCATGCACGCAGAATAACTTCTTCCCTCTCTTTTGCAGTTGGAAAGACCTCCTTGATTACCAGATTCATGTACGACAGTTTTGACAACACTTACCAAGTAAGTGGGAATTCCTGAAATTCTTAGGGATTTCTAAGCTATAAATTGGACTTTATCATATTTGTCAGTGGAGGGATGAAAATGTTATAGACTAGCACTAAGGACATTGTAATTTCCAAACTGAAATTGATGAAGAGCGAACAGCTGAAACTCTGAATTCTATTTATATCTAGAATTGCAGTTAAAAAAACCCAGCATATTTGTAGATCAGTAACATTTTGATTCAGAGAATGTTCTATTTTTTTCTGTGGTGTGAACTGTAATCTTAGCAATTACTCTTACAGTGTATCTCTGGTCATCTCATAAAAAGGAGTTTTTTATCCAAAGAAAGTTGAAGTTATTTTGAACAATGTTTTTCTCTTGAGTTTCTTATTGCTTACAACACAGCATATGCAACAGGAGTTCTGGGGTCGTCCCCCCCGACTTGAGTTCAAGTGCTTGGTTATGGCCTTTTAAGTTGTGAATAGACAATATTTTTCCCTGGATTCATATGAACATGCATAGCCCTTGAGAACAACCATAGAGGTTCAGCTGTCTGGCTCTCTGTTAAGAATGATTAAATTAGCAAGTATGAGAGACGGTCTTTTTATTGAAGGCTCCCCATCCTGGAAGTCTGTTTGCTCTAAATGTCAGAATGCAAACACCTTGTACACATTATCAGTAATTTATTTTCACATCAACTGAATTACACATACTCCTTGATTGTTTATTTTAAGATCACTTTTAAGACTAATTTTTCAGTACATGAGGTGGTATACGCGTTGAAAATCGATATAATAGGAGACATTAATCTAATTAGTTTAATTTAATCTCTTTAGTATTTATCATAGTATTTATAGGCTGCAACTTTAGTGTAGCCCCTACTCAGCAAGCTTTGTAAATCTTCTCAAAGGCTTTCATGGGCTTGTTTTTAAATTATTTATTATAACTATATTCTCTTGTCTCCAAAATTCTGTGACTTGTCCTGCATTTCATTCCCAGATATTCAGGGTCACCAGCAGAATCCAGTGCATCCCTAAACATAATCAAGCGACTTGCATTCCTATATGATTACTCCTCCATTACAGACACTGCTATAATTGCATTGTATTATTGTTGTGCATTCGCTCAGGACTCAGTTGCAGGAAATTTCTATTGATTTAAGTGGCAAACCCATAGATTTCTATAGAATCTAAGTTATAACTCGATAGTCCTGTTAGATTTCCGTGGGACTTTAGATCAGCTAACTTACATGCTTTTGAAACTGGTTGGGGAACCCTATTTTCTCCTCCCTTTGCAGTGTTGTTTAGATTTCTCAAACTATCAGGCGAGTCCTTGCAGGCTTTGTATAGAAAATTTTAAAAATGGTTTTCTTTCTTTCATATTTCTGAAACAGAAGTGTATTCTCGATCAGATTAATGGAAATGTGTTTTTTTCCAGGCGACAATTGGAATTGATTTCCTTTCAAAGACCATGTATTTAGAAGACCGCACGGTGAGTGGGAATGTCTGTGTACTTCATTTTGTAACAGGAAGAGCGATCACTGCGCATAATCATGATATTTTTGACTGATTCCCCTTTAGTCCTGCTGGACAGGGAAGCGCCCAGTTGACATAGTGTAGTATTTGCATAATCCATGAGAAGCAGAATCAGGCTTTTTTTAAAAAAAAATTGAAAGCAATATGTGATTCTTGGGAATTCACGTTAGAGGACAGAACTTAAATGAAATTGCTTGATGTTGGTAGACATTAGTTGTTTTACTCTTTACCCTTATGAAACGTAGTTGTCTTTCAGTCTGTGGAATTTTAATCTTTGGCTGGAGGGAGGCCAGTCTGTCCCATACAGTTTTGTTTGACCTCTTATTCATAATTTCTCTAACAACGGGGGGAATGTACAGAATGCCTTCAGGGACTTTATTTCATCCACACAACCGTCCTACAGAGGAAAATTAGGCTGAAAGAGGGTGATTGTGCCCTAAGCTGCCCAGTGAACACCATGGCTGAACTGAGGTTTGAACTTGGCTCTCGTATTTCCTAACCAGTATTTCCTAACCAGACCACTTTGCACTGTACAGCATGAATTGTCTTTTTGTCACCAAAATTACTGTTGTCAGTCTGACCTTACAGCTAGACTTGGTTGCATTTCTAGTATTATTATTTTTTCTCCTTTTGGCTGACTGAGATCAGCTTATGACGTACTCTTTGAGAAGTGGTTTTCCTTTTATTAAGGGATGGCTATATTCAAGAGTTTGGCTTGCAGTGTATTTTATCACCTCAAGAGTGTGGTTGTGACCAGCCAGACAGTGTACTCACTAAGCCCAGACATAAGCAGCAAGCTCTTTGGCCTTTCCTCTTAGAATGAATGGCAGGAAAGGTAGGGCAGCTTATCTGAGACACTGGTAAACTACCTTGGATTTCATATTGTGAACCCTCACCTATGGTTCCTACTGGGCACATCTATATATATATCTATTTATCTGTCACTCATTGATGATTTTATATATATGTTTCATATTGTGAACCCTCACCTGTGGTTCCTACTGGGCATAATCATCTATGAGTGACATATGTGTGTGTGTGTGTATATTCATTGATGATTTTATATATATATAAAATCATCAATGAGTGACAGACCAGTACCTTGGCTGGTGTGCTTAATAGACCATCAAGGACTGAACTGAGTGCCAAAAACTATGTCATAGACACTTGATCAGGCCTTTGGTCTCTGTACATGCACCTATTCCAGCTGCATTTAAAATGCATTTCAAAACACAGATTATTGATGGTGTCCAGAGAACCTGGCGTGTGTGGTTGATCTGGCATTTGGGGGAAGAGAGGCCAAGGGTCCCTTTTAGCCAGCTGTTCTTTTTTTTTTCACTTTGCACTGCATTTTTTGTTTCTTTTAAATTTCTTCTCCCCCACCCCTCACTATTCATTGCTTGTGTTGTTTTGCCTCAAGGTTTTACCTTCCTTTTTAATTTCACATAAGATCTTTGTTTTTTCTTTTCGCTTTGTTTTCCATCTTCCTGCTCTCACAACCTCCTTTGCCCCCCCTTTCCATCTCCTCCTGCATTTTATGTTTTCCCAGATGAGGCTGCAGCTGTGGGACACAGCCGGCCAAGAGAGATTCCATAGCCTCATTCCTAGCTACATCCGGGACTCTGCTGCGGCTGTCATAATCTTTGACCTCACAAGTAGGTACTGGGATTTAGGGTTTGCAAGGGAAACAAGACGAAACACATCTAAAGGATTGCAAGGTTACTCTCTTAGCATCTGTTATTAGAGTGCACCACTTTTCGTTGCTTAAGGATGTAATGGATTGTTAGACAAGTATTTCCATTATATTGCAAAGTCATTGTAGAGAAAGGATCCTTCATTGTGATACCCAGATGTGAACACTTGTTACACACAAACCGTAACGCTGTAACAACTGCCTTCCTAAGAAAGTTTTGTTTTTGTTAAGGGCAACTCAGTCCATCTCTGATGTCTAGTCCTTCATCTCACGAAGAGCTGGCAGGCCATGTTTTTGATGTCCCCGTCCTATATGCCATCACAGCTTTATGATTGCTTTATTATATTTATGTCTGTCAACAAAAAAGACAAAGTATCAAGTTGAGTTGTATATCCCATTGTTGTTACACTCAAATGCAACACTTGTTTTTGTTTTTGACTATAAGCAAAGGTGGGTGTCACCAAATTTTTTTTAGGTGCCTGATGCCTGCTTTCTGGGTCTCTCCAAGTCAGGTCTGTAAATGAGGATGTGAACTCTTTATTGGGCAAACTCAAGCGTTCATCCAGTTCAATATCATGCTTTTGGTAGCATCTAACTAGATCATTTGCTGACTTTGAGGGCCGTGTGTAGGCCTTCTATGCTGTTCTACTTCAGCAGTTGCAATTCATAAAAATAGAAGGGTCCAACACAGTTTGCACATAGCTGTCATGACTAAAAAAGCATTGGATATGTTACTGCTCTGTCTATTTTCTAATCCTATTTGAAACTGGATGCAAAATGCCGTCATAGTAATCCCCTTTTGCCCATAGTAAAAGCTCTTTGTAGTGTTTTATTCACATTGAGCAGGGGGGTTGGATTCAGTGGCCTTATAGGCTTCTTCCAACGCCTTTATTCTATAGTACTGTGATGAACACCAACATGGACAAGTGACAGGAAAGTCCAGTGCAATTTATAGCAATTGCTACATCAAGGTGGTGGATGGGAAAATGCACCTTTCTTGTTGTGCACTAGATCTTTTAAAAATATCCACATAAACCTTCAAAGGGAAGATTTGCTGGCTCCCCCTTGCAAGAGAAGAAGCTGTAATCGAATGCCCTCTATAAACCGCTCCCTTTGGGGCAGGGATAGAGAAACTGCAGCTTCCCAGGTTGGAATGCATGCAATGCTCAGCGTTCTTTGCCTCTGATTCGATGCTGGCGAGGGGGGCATGGAGGGTGCTGGCCTCAAACATTTGGAGGGCCTGCTCCTTGTACAGCCTGAAGTCCAGAGCGGTTCCAATGGTCTAGAAAATGCCACAGTCACATATTTAGGGCCCTTCACAATGATCTCCCACCACAAATGGTGAGGTCCTCAGTTTGGCTAGTGAGGTTTCTACCCTTCTTGGGGGGTATTGGCCAAGTAGCAAAACCGACCAGATAGGCGGGATATAAATTAAATAAATAAATAAATAAACTTCCATTCTGGTGTGGTCTCAGCAGGTTTTTGGCTGCGATGCCATGCATTGGGGCCCAGCTAGGTCTCTCTGACTCGGTGGCCCTGCTGGTTCCAGACTCTTTGCCTTTCTCTGGAACAGCTTCGCTAACCTGTTACGTACAGAGGAAGGAGCAGAGATTTACATTCATGGAGACAAAGAAACGGTGCTTCTGACTGCCTCTGGGCACAGGTGGTGGGTGTCTTGCTCTAGCACTGGGTTGCCAAAGAAATTCATTGGATCCAATAGCCAGAGTTGTCATTGAAAGTAACAAAGGGCATTAACAAAGCTGCCTAGAGTGGTCTTTTAGACCAGATGGGCGGGGTATAAATCAAATAAATAAATAAATAAAATAAAAATTATCACACTTTTTGAGCCTTGTTGCGACAGGACATTCATCTGGCCTCAAGAACCACAGGTAACGTTGAGAGGTGTTTCAGGGCAGGGTGGATTTGATTTAAGTCAAGACTGAAATGTTTTAGAAATGATATTTTAATAAATTTACATCAAGTTTTACATCAATTTGATTTTTTTTAAAAAATCGTTGGTTTTTATCCACCCTGGTTTCAGGGAAGTACAGTATGCACACCAAACAAATGTGAAGAACTTAAAATTTGCAATATGGTGTGGGGGGGGGGCTGTAGAACCATGTTTCAACCTATGGGAAAGAGTGGTCTGCATCAAATATGTGTAAAAGATCTACACAGATTCCATGACATTCCCTCCAACCCCTAGTCTCACATTCTGATCTGAATTGAGAATGAAGAGAGACAACACCAGAAAAAGTTTTTCCCCATCCTTAGGTTTAGGGTGGTGGGAAGCAAGGCCCTCATTGGCCCCTCCTCTACTCTTTTGCTGTCCTTGTCACAACTCTCGTCTGTTACTCCCACCAACTGAGTATTTCCTTTCATGTTAGTTCTGTCTTTTTTCCTCCCCGTTTCAGCCTCTGGTAAGACCTTTAAGAAAAACCCATGTTCTTGTTGAGAGCGAGAGAGCAGTAAAACAGTAGCCCTGTTTTTAAAATTCACCTATATCCCTACAGCTTCTGTTGGCTTGTAACTTTCAATAGCTCGGCTTGGCCAGTGGAGGGCACATGACATTCCCCCCCCCCTTTTCACCCAAGCAAGCCTCCTGGCAAAAAAGGGGTTTGATTTGATCCAGACAAAGGATCACTGCTAACCTTTCTCAAGGAAGCTCTTCCCAGCAATGCTGTTAGCAGAGAAATGCAGTTTTGTCTTTTTGCCCGGTTCAGACGCTGCAAAAAATAATAATGATTGGAGGCCGTGCTCCCTGGAAGTTGTACCCCTAAGAGAGAATCTTCTTGGCTCCCTAGATCTTGCTATTCCGTTAGGGCAGTCTACGCTTTTGAAGTGGATTCGTTTCCACTATGGAACTTACTCAGCTGTAGTAGCTTTCCTATAGAGACATGGTCTTTTCTCACACATCCCAGAGTGTTACCTGTGGGGGTTTTTTTTGGTTTTTTTTTTAGTGTATACAAAGCTTGAAATAACCCACTGCTGTGGAAGCAATTGGGTCCATGTCATTGACAGTGAGGAATGGTCATAGAGCAGAATGATTATTGTTATGAGAGTGAAAGTTTTATTATACCTTTTCTTTAGCCCTGACTACTGTATTCCCTATCAAGCTATCTGTGTGTTTGGAAACAACAAACCTTTGTTGTTCTGTATCGTCCCTCTAACGCATTACCTTTTCCCTAAAGGACAGTTTCTCCTTTTTCTCTGTCTTTTTGTCTTTCTGCTTTCTCCCCCGGGCTGGTACCAGCAGGTCCGACTTCAGCTTTGGGACACGGCAGGCCAGGAGCGGTTTCGTAGCCTCATCCCCAGCTACATCCGTGACTCAACTATTGCAGTAGTAGTCTATGACATCACAAGTGAGTGAGAGATTTGTTTCATTGAGCCTGCAACACTATACTCTTGAAGGTGAGGTTGAAGCACAGAATTTCTCCCGAGTGATAAGGCTGAGTTGGGCTCATTTTATGCTGGGGCTGGCAAACGCCTCTCCCGCTTGGAATATGTGTGGAGCTTTGTTTTGCAAAAGGCCCTCTGGGGTGGATCCGTGCTCCGGCCATCTCACCATTGAGAAGCACCACTAGAGATGATCCCACTTTGAATGGTCACTTCCGGTGTTCCCTTGCCAGGCAGGGAAATAAGCACCATTCCATGTTCTCCCAAGGTGCTGCTGCCTGTATCCTGTTCACAGTCTAAGTCTTAATCACATGAACATATCCTTCCTGTTTATAGTTTCTCATCTCTCATGGATGCCATTCACTTGCTTAAAACTCAGGCCCTACAGTTCTTCATAAGCTGGTTCCCAAACGTATTGTTTCATATTGTCTCATTCCTAAAACCCTTTGTTCTCTTGATTGGTTGCCACCTTTAATGCAAATGTACTGCTCATTCCACACACCTAACTTCCTATTATACTGCAGTACACTAACAGAAACTGGAGTGTGTGTGTATATGTATAAAATACCATGTGCTATTTAAAGTTTCCTGTTATACTGCAGTACACTAACAGAAACTGGTGTGTGTGTGTGTGTGTATGTATAAAATACCATGTGCTATTTAAAGCTTTTCCCTCTTTCTTGAATTCCAGCACTAATCTATTGAGATGCCTTTTGTCTTACAGACCTAAATTCCTTCCAGCAAACCTCCAAATGGATTGACGATGTGCGAACAGAGAGGGGAAGTGATGTCATCATCATGCTAGTGGGAAATAAGACTGACCTCGCAGACAAAAGGTGATTTGGAAATCAGATGGGTTACTTTGATGTGTGCTAGAAAGCTTCCTGGTCGGTTCCTGGAAGGAACGAGGACAGACAGTCCCCATGCCTGTGCATTGGTTATGCAAACAACATTAAAAGCAGCAAAACCCCATGCAGGGGTGATGGAATTCTTGGTGGTGCAGTCCCCTCACCTGCTTATTGATTCTTTTAATCTCTATTTAAAAGAATCATTTAGCAGGGGAGGGGAAAGGCTTCCTCCTTAAACTCTCATGGCTGCTTCTGATCTTCCTCTAAATCAGGAATAGATGGATGGCTTTCGAGATCTTAAAGGCTTTCACTGTTGGCTGTTCTGGTTTCAGGTAGAAGTTGTAAGCTGGAAAAAAAAAAAACCGCTTGGAGACTTAAAAGTTGCCAGTGCAGTTACATTTTTTAAAGCTTTGCACAAGACTTTCCGTCTGTTTCTCTCTCCATGTCCACTGATGGTTGAGAAGAGCTTCTCATCAGTTGGTGGCTGATATGTTGTGGTTTCGTTCATTTTGATTTTTTATTTTTTTTGGCTGCCTTTTTCATTTGGTGCTTTTTATTCTCCCTCCTAGCAGAGGGTGCCGGAGAGGTTAAAGAACAGTGAAATAGATATTGAAAGGAATCATAAAGCAGGAGTTTAAATACCGCTGAGCTTGTGGAGATTGTTTGAGGGCGTCTTGCTTGCAGGTGGTTATTTTGCACACCCTGCCACGCAACCACACCCCTCATGACTCATCGTTCATGCCTGGGATGATTTAGTGAGGTGTAGAAATGTTCCTCAGAACCAAGATTTGATTACTTTAAGGCACAGTTGTGTTTAAACCACAGCCCTTGATCTCATATGTGACCCTTGGCTTAAATGCAAAGCATAATCTGCAGGCAGTCCATTCAGCCCTTTGGCAAGAATGATCTGCCTCTATTTTAGTCTTTCGCCTTTCCTTTCCCCTTTCTTCTTAATGCAGGGGTTTCCTTTCCCCTGTCGTGCTCTGTCAATACTGCAGCATCAAAGCAATATTATTCTGCTGTTCCTTGCTTCCGGTTTTTACCTGGTGTGTCACATAATGCCATGTACATGGCTGCAGTTCCTACTTTGAAGTGTTGAAGGTAGTTCAGGCAACCAGGAGCTTTCTAAGCCTCTCCTAATGACGATACAAAATAGGAGGAGCCGTCCTAATTGAACCCTAGGTTGAGGATTGATCACCCTATCTTTCTTCTCTTGTTTCATTCTGCTCATTCCTTTCAGGCAAATTACTACGGAGGAAGGGGAGCAGAGAGCCAAAGAACTGAGTGTGATGTTCATTGAGACCAGCGCCAAGACTGGCTATAATGTGAAACAGGTAATTTTGTGCCACATCCAGAGAACAACTTCCTCGGTCATTAGCACCTGATACCAAGGACTATAACCTTGAGATTTTAGGGCTTCTTTGATTCGATACAGTTTTGATCCCTTTTTCTCAGTTCTGGGCGTAGCTGGCTGAGTGTCACGTTCTGGAAGAATTCCCTCGGTCATTAGCACCTGATACCCAGGACTATAACCTTGAGATTTTAGAGCTTCTTTGATTTGGTACAGTTTTGATCTCTTTTTCTCAGTTCTGGGCATAGCTGGCTGAGTGTCACGTTCTGGAAGAACATATCCTTCCCTTTGGACCTGTTCTTTGTCTAATCACAGTTCTTAATAGAATGCCTGATCTTGCTTCACACATGACTTAATTGGGGCATGGGTACCTGTATGTCCCTTATACGGGCCATGATATTGCTGTCCATTTATCCTGCATTTCTGGGAAAAAACTGAATTCCTCTTCATTTCGTGCTGCCTTTCAGCTTTTCCGCCGCGTGGCTGCAGCGTTGCCTGGTATGGATAGCACTCCCGAGAAGAGCAAAGATGACAGTATCCTTCCTCTGCTTCTTGGTAGCTTCCTGGCATCATATGGCCTTCGAGGAGGAGCCTTTTGCTTCTTCTTGGCAATGCCTAAAGGCAACCTCCGTTATTTAGCTGCCTCTCTGTGTGCGTGCATGCATGCATGCAGGAATCATGCAGGAGCAGCTTTTGATGGATGTCACCCTACCTCTAAAGAGGGAATCTCCACTCCCGTTGTTTAAACCTATAGGATTCCTTGTGGGCAAATGGCAGCACACAGCTATATGTGAACCAGTGTATAATTTCTTTCAAAGGTAGCTCTGTAGGTCTAAGCTTATTGGTACATGTTTGGTTCTACATGAGAGTTTGAAAGGCCGAATAAGACTATGATCTGGGCTCTGGAGTAATTGCCTCCTGAGGGGCTACAGATTATACTACAAAATCCTTCCCTTTGTGTCAGTTTTTATTCGAACGCAGGTCATCCTGATTGGTGAAGGGGTGGTGGAGTGGGGGGAATTGTTGCTAACATCAAGTCTTAAATGTGCCTTGAAGTAACCGTTGAGAAAAGGGGAGTCTCTTTGTGGTGCAGAGGATAAACTGCAGTACTGCAGTCAAGACTGCTCCCAAGCTGTGGAACTCTCTCCCCCAGCACCTTTATATGGGCAAGTTTAGACAAGGTTTGAAAACCTATTTGTTCAACTCGGAGTCATGGGTATTGGCTGTTGAAACCGTCAGTCATAGTGGGTTAAACTGCAGTCAAGACCCTGAGTTCAATCCCAATGGGCTCAGGTATTTGACTCAAGAGTCACTCAGCCTTCCATCCTTCTGAGGTCAGTAAATTGAGTACCCAGCTTCCTGGGCGGTGGGGCAATGTGTAGCCTGCATAATTAAATTATAAATGCCGAGAGAGTGCTTTGGGGTGCACAGTGGGGCAGTATAGAAGCTGCACACTTAGCTTTATGACTGATAGGTCTATTTTGGTTACTTTTGGAACAGCAGGGAAGAGGAGGGCAGGACAAGCACCGACTGTCTTAACCTCCTTTGACTTGCTTCGCTCTACTGGAGTGATGCCTTTGGGCGTAGTTTTCCTGCTTATTTTATCAGTGTCGTTGCCTGTTTTTTAGCCCCTTAACCTACCATTTCCAGTGATTGATATCAAACTAGAGAAACCTCCTGAGCAGCCGGTAATGGAGAGCGGGTGCTCCTGCTAAGAGGATCTGCGGTGTGGCGGCCCCCTTCCCGATCGGCCGGTCCCGTCTCGCCGGAGAGCATCACTTTCCCATTGACTGAAAGGAACTTAACTTTTCCGAGGGCTGAGAAACCCGGTCTTAAGTAACGAGATTGAGCCCCACCCCGTACTGTGAACAGCCTTGGCTGCTCCCTTCTACTGCATGGTGTGAACCCTCAACTGTGTCCTGTCCTTTGTTGGTTGTTGCACTCTTGGTGCTGGTGGCACCTTTATCCTAGGTTTCCTCTCTTGGGCGTGAGCACCTCGCTGTGTGATGCTGTGAAGCAAAAAGGGAGGATTTAGCAAAATGCTTTTCAACCTCCAGCATGGGCTGGAGTGTCGTCTGTCTCCTCATTGCTGCCTTTATCTTCCTTCTTGAGGCTGCTTCTTGACGTTGGTTTGGCCCATCCTTGCCCTGGGAGAGGCGGGCACCCTCTCATGCTGACCTCCTGCCTCGTGGCCTCAGCCACCTGCTCCCATCCCTGTTCCATTGTCTTTCCTCGAGGAGAGAAGGGAGGGGAGGACGTAGCTCCAAGCACGTGCCTCATGAGACGTGTTGCGCTTTATCTCTACATGGTAGCTAGCTGATTCTTAGGTGGCGATTACCTACCCTTTTCCCAGAAAGGTGGTGCTCCTGAAATAGTTGGAATATAGAAGGGAAGAATAAGCAAAATCGAAATGAGTGACTCCATTGATTGTGGAGTCTTAATTAGAAAGCAGAGCACTGGGATGTTCTCCTGTCCTTTCTCCATTTCAGATTCCTTCTCTGTCCTCACACCCATCCATTTGACGCGTTCTCTGTTTAGGGAAGTTATGCACTGCATAGTTGCTAGCTTAATTAAAACGGGCATGTGTACCAGGTTCAGACCAACACCATGAGCCCCCATGTTGTATAATTTATCACTTGGAGACCATGTTAAGCCAAGTTCCTCATGCCTCATAGTCCTAATTTCCAGCTTTATAGATGGCAATGTATAATTTATCACTTGGAGACCATGTTTAAGCCAGGTTCTTTCTGTCTACCTTCATGCCTTGTAGTCCTAATTTCCAGCTTTATAGATGGCAATGGATGGCATGTTCATGCTATCACCGAGTCCGTGGCTTTGCTATAGGAACGAACCTTCTCTGTATTCAGTGTTTTTCTTTCCCTGGGATGATAGCCTGACCTTGGAGAACCTCCAGTGGGGGGGTGGTTCAGCATCACCCCTTGAACTGTTTCAGCTGCTGTAATATGAAGCACGAGGCAGGATCCCGGTGTCCTAGTCTGACTCTTCATTTGTTTTAGAGCTTATTATTGACCCTTCACCATTTTTGTGCAGGTTATGACACAAGGGGAAATGTTGGCTTGTTCTTTATTTGAAAAATAACCGGTGTCTCAAAAGTGTTTCGAGAACAAAAACTGCTGTAAGCTCTGTTGAGCGTTAGACTCAGCCCAAAATGTGTTTTCAGATAAATATTTCCCTCTGCTAATGGAGCCAAGCTTTGAAAGGCATGTAGGTGGTCAGAGTGACTTGGGTAGTTGTTTCTGGGGCTGGAAGCATAGCCCAGTTTGTTCAGCTGGTGGCTGCTTGTCTGTCTTAAAAGCCAAAATGCAGAATCCTTAACAGCTCATCTGTTCCTCTGCTGCTGAGACTTTGTATAGAGAACCTTTCTGTTTACTTCTGTGTATGCATGGGATATCACTCTTTCTCAGTTAGAGGTGCTTCGAAGCATGGTCTGTGAGGCCCTAGCCTTCGGCCACCAGCTGCCCTCAAAATTATGGGCTATAAAGCCACCATAATAGCAGTTTGGGCAAGTCAGTTGCATTATTCTGTCAACGATGTTGAGATCTCGACAGAGGAAAAACAGGATTTTTTCCATGCATCCTTTGTTTAGGGTCTCCTTTGGAGTGAAAGGGTAGTCCTTTTCTTACAGGGAAAACACTGGAGTTCCTGCTTCATTGCTTTGTTCAGCTACACTTACTTAGCTTGAAATGCTCCTAACCGGTGCCTGAGGTGTGTTTGGGGCAGACATGAACACAAACCGCTGGGTCAGCGGGTGTTCATTTCCTGGCCGAAGAGCTGGCCCGCCCCCCTCCAGCAGGTGAAGAGAAATCTGCCCATAGACATAGCTTAGACATGCTCCTTTTCTCATGGACATTCTTTGTTCAATGCCACACGTGCTTGTTCCAGGAGGGGCAGACAGTTGTGCCTCAACTCGGGGTGTGTTAAGATGGCTTTTCTTTACAAAATGTGCTGCTGTTTCCAACTCCAGGCCCTGCACGTTCTTCTCCCCACAGAGCGCTGAGGTTCAAAGCATTTTCTTCCCTCCCACCCTGTTCCTAGTTTACTAGGGCTCTAGACGGTATTTCCAACAAATTCCTTATGTCTTACAGACAAAATTCTGTCAGTATAGCTTTTAACCTTTCAGACATAATAACCTGTTATGGAATTGGATGGCTTTGTGCTAAATCCCGTTATTTTGCCCCACTTAGAGCAGACCCATTGAACAAATGGGACTTAAGACTTAATGGCTCTCCTCCAGTTGCAACTAATGAATTTAGGCGTTTGCTTCTCAAATTTTGCCATTTTTGTTAATACAGGATAGCAACAATAAAGTTACAGAAAAATGACACGCTTGTCATCAACCCACATTGCTTAAAATTCCACTGACACCACTACACGTTGTGTTTTTTGCACTGTCGCTCCACAAAGACAACACCATGCCCCTTTGCAGCCTCAAATGAACTTTGCTGGGCCCTGTTACCATGCCCCAAGGGTGAGGCACAGCTGACTTCTGTCTTGATGCAAGCACCCAAGTGGCCCCGTGAAGCACGTCAGTGTGAAAAGAGGGCAGTTTTCCTCTAGAGAGAGAGACCTCTCTACTTATTGTCCACCTAGTTCAGTTGAATAAGTAAGTTTTGTTCAGAGGTCTGCTGTATCTTGAAAGTGTTGGGTTGGCCAATGTTTCCAGTGATCTGTAGCCTGTCCTGGTTCCTTGGCTGCGTGTGAGAGGATCTGCTCCATCTGTACGTGGAGGGTTGATCGGCTATCCTTCCATACCTCTTCATCTGAGCATAAGCACCCATAAGGTTAGAAAAAAGCAAAGGAACACACCACTGTTTCATACTGTGTGCCACTTTCACAGAAAAATGGGCTTTGTCCTGTCAGGTTAGGAATCAGAATGCCTCTGCGGAGGCCTTTATTGTGTGTGTATGAGTGTGTGTGTGTGTGTGTAGATAGATTAGATAGATCCCTTCTGTTTTGTGGGAATTGCTGAAGTCCCATCAGTGTTTGTTTCTCCCTCTCCCCGTCTCTCATTCATTCTACGTCTCATGGATGCAGTGGGACAGGTGGTGCTTCCCCTTTTGTAGTAGCAGCACAGCCCTTCCGCTGCTGCTACTACAGTATTCTCTCGAGACAAGCTGGAAACATTTTTCAAGAGAGTAAGGATCTACACGTAAGCTCATCTTTGTGGGAAGGGGTTAGGGGGCCAGTTGGACAGGCGGCAGCAGGGGGAATCTAGTGAACGACAAGAGGTCACTCTTCACTGCCTTCTCTGTGGATGTGTATAATATTGAGTGTGTTCTCTTTGGCTCGCTGTCTTCTAGCTGTTAGCCAAGTAAGTGACTCTTAATATATCAATATTGACTGTCAGATTAAAGCTGTGTATCACACTAAATAAAGTTAATTTCACCATGATCCTTTCCTCGTCGTGATAATATTTAAGGGCAGGCTGTTCTATCCTCCCTCTTCATCCACAGGGCTTCCAGAGACAGAGAACACAATGACAACAATATTGTGACACTCGCACCCCTTTAAATATACAACAAGAAAGAAGACCACCCAACTTAAATAGGTAGTAAGTTCTGTACAGTACTAAGGTTCAAGATGGCAGCCAACCAACAATCAACCTATAAAATTGCAGGTCATCAAGAACAAGAGAAGACAAGAAGTAAATTAATATGTGATAAAAATTTTCTAAAACCCACATGTTTCTTTCATATTGGGGGTGGGAATATCCCAAGATGAAGAAGTAGGAGAAAGTGGCACCTTTTCCCCAGCTGGCGTTGCAACAGAAGAGCTGCCACCACAATTAATTTGGTTTCTCGGATAAGCAAGGCCTCTGATTTGTCTCCGTGGTTGTTTATCTGAGTTGCTATTAAAAAGGGCAGGGTTCTTGAAATAAACAGTTTAATGTGTCAAGTTGCACTTTGTAGGAGATAATTTAGGCTTTGGCAAGAATCACTGGTTTAACCTGCCCTCTGCAGTCCCCTTTGCTGTGCATTTACCAAAGTATTTTAAGCAACATTCCCTGTTTCACCTCTCATTAGTTAAGGAAATTGTTTGGGGCAGGTAGGAAAACCAGCTGGTGGCTTTCTAATCATCCTCGGCTTGGAAGTTTTCCATGTGCTTTGACTTTCTGTTGGATTAACCTGTCACAGTTGTGCAGTTAAAACATAAATTTTACAGCCATTTCAACAGGAAAAGGTTGAGGACAGCTACCGTACTTTGTAATGGAGCAGGCCAGATTCTGCCAGTCTAAAATGCTGGTTCAGGACTCGTTCACATGTGAGTTGGTGACTTGTTTGAACAAGTCACAGGAGATAAAACAATTTATAGGTTCCTTCACGCCCCTCAGTGCCTTTCCTTTGGGCTGCATCACTCATGGTGGAAAACAAACAGATATATAAACACATCTTTGAGTGGCTCCCAAACAAAAAAGATTCCTATTTATTATTTAGAATAATTGATCCCATCTTCCCAGTGCTCTTGAGATGTGGGAAGGATTATAGTAAATAAAGTGCACAAGGATAAAGGAAATACACTTAGAAGGAGCAAAAACAGTTAAAAGCAGAAGGTGGTGGTTTTAAAGCATACATCGCCTGTAAAAATTGGGCCCACTAAAATATGTTTGCCTAGGCAGAAAATGGAAGACTAGGTGGGGGTTATATCCTACAGCAAAACGGTACCATACCAGTTCAAATTGCAAAAGGCTGGCTGGTGTAGGGAGAATCCTGAGTGCTTGGGGTTTTTTTTAATGTATTATAATTTATCTTTAACCATGAGGGATGGTTCCAAAAGATACCACTTGACAGCTAGTACACTCTACAGTTCCTTAGTTCTGGGGTGTAGCTGTGTTGATCTGTCACATCAAAAAAAAAAGTTTTCTGGTACTTTAAAAGCTAACAATTTTAATTTCTCACAAGCTTTCATGGGCTGATGCAGCCCACCATTGCCTGTCTGCTCTGGTGGTTACTCTGCAAGAACAGCGAAGGAGGAAGCTGTTACGAAATCCCGCTGCCTCTGGATGAAGAAACTCAAGCCTGAAATGTTTTGACTCTCAATTAGAAACTGTTAAGTTTGCAAAAATAATGCATTTCTTTTTTTTCTCCTCCATATCATTACAAGTTGCTCCTTCGAAGCAGAGCTGGTAAGAAAAACGTTCCTTCAGTTTTCCAAGGGCTTCGTTTGGAAAGAGGCTCTGTTATACATCCCACCATCGCCTATCTGCTCCAGTGGTTACTCTGCAAGAACAGTGAAGGAGGAAACTGTTACAAAATCCCACCACCTCTGGATGAAGAAACTCAAGTCTGAAATGTTTTGACTCTCAATTAGAAACGGTTAAGTTTGCATTTCCTTTTTCGTTCCTTCAATTTTCCAAGAGCTTCGTTTGGAAAGAGGCTCTGTTATACAACCAGGACCTTTTCTATGCTAGCATCACCCCTGCCATGGAACTTAACTCCTAGCCGCTCAGAGTGGTGTAAATATACCAGATGGGTGGGATATAAATCAAATAAATAAATAAATAGACTCTCCCCAAAATCTGTAAAGGTATCCTCTCTGCCTGCATTCTGGGGTGGGCTAAAAAGAAAAGTTAGTTGAAAACTGACTTCCGCTTCTCTTGGCTTTTTTTACCTGTCCAGTAGGGTGTTTTCCTAACCTGTTTTTAAAAGTACGAGGCCTCCTTGTTTTTCAGGTGGTGACTAGAAGGGTGGCCTTTTTCATCCGAAAGTTGCAAACCACTTTTTTTAAAAAAAGAACGCGCAGTGGTTGCTCAATAGGTTAAAAGATTAAAAAAAACCAAAACATGGCCACCAGAAGAAGAAGAAATGTGCGAAAAAGGAAGCTAAAAAGGCGGACCAAGTCCGGCGAACAAGAGCGGCAGAGAGCAGGTGATCATCATCCTCCGGCGGTTCCTCTTCCTCTTTTTTTTTTCAGAGCCCAAAGGAGGCATAGAGGAGCGCAGGCGGCGGGGCGAGGAAGTCGAGAAATAAATTGGGGGGGGGGACAGCAGGCTCCTCTGGCGCCGAGTTAAGAAACCCGAGTTGTGGGAACGCAGGGAAGTCCGGGGTTTGCCCCTTCCCACGTTGCCCGGGAGGGGGAGAGAGAGAGAGAGTCCCGCGCGGCATCCTTGCTTTTCCCCCCCGCCGAACCGCCTCCGCGCGCCCAGGTGAGTCCTCTCCGAGGGAGGGGCCCGGCGCCCGGCCAATCGGAGCGAGAGGCTCCTCCCGCCCTCGGCCAATCAGCGGCCGAGTCAGGGAGCCTCACCTGTCCCGAGTTAGCGGCGAAGGCGAGGGAAGCGCCCGGCTGAGGTTCCCGGAGGAAGGTCGGGCGTTACGCGCGCGGGGCGGCGAGGGGTGTGTGTGGGTTTCCCTCCTCCCGGGTCTCTTCTTGCCGGCCCCCCACCCACCGGCCAAGGGACCGGGGATGATGGAGGGGCCGCCCCCGCTCCGGCTGCCGGACGAGGCCGCCTTCGGAGCCTTCCGGGCCGAGTGCGAAGCCGAGCAGGGCTGGCTCAGCCGCTACCGCCGGGAGGGGATGGCCGTCTGGGGGAAGCCCCCTCGGGCCGAGGACCCCGCCATTCACCGGGTCAAGGTGAGACCTTGTGTGTGTGTGTGTGTGTGGGGGTCCCCTCGGCAGGGGGGGGGGGT